GAAAAGACCAGAGGCGTCTCTTAAGCGGATTAAGCTATGCGTGTGCCATAATGTCTAGTCGCCATTACTACTAGCAAAATATAAGGTACAAAGATTCAGTCCCTGAATCCAAAAGTCAATATTTTATCTGCTAGTGCCTTTAAAAGCTATCCCATATAAGTGCCACAAGTACGGCAATTCTGAGTGGATTCAGGATGGAAGTAGGGCGTCTTCCTTAATTACGATAGGCTCCCCTTAGTTTGAGGGTGGCCTACCGTTGAAGCGGCTGCACAAGTTCGTCGGTTTACTCCGTGGTAGGTAGCGCCTAAAGGCCTCGGATCTGATTATACAGGACACTGCTGACTGTCCTGAAATGGTGCGTCTAAAGCAAAGAAATCCGGCGAAAAGTTGCAAAATGGGACTCTCATCTCGTGCTTGGTTCAGGATGAGGTTGAGGCTTATATGTAGGTGCTTAGGTAAGGGCACCTCGATGAAATACACAACAGAATATAATTTTATTTTTTCGAATGCAATTTTTTTAAAAACAATTTTTAAAATACAATTACTCCGCTTGCTTTGAAATACGCTTTCAAGATAAAAATCGGACGATAATCGTAGCGGTATCGCAAAACCTCACTTTTGGGTCGGGCAATTTTGGGATGGTACAGCTTTCAGGTTTATAGCCTGATTGCGCTGTAACTGGTGCACCTTTCAACACGAGGTGCTCCTTGCTTCCTTCGAGGCTACCGCACTGGCGCGTTTCACCAGTGCGCACAAATTTCATTACGGCCACTGCCTTTAAGGATCGAACAAATACCTCTCAGATCCGATCAAGTCAGTTTCAGTATGAGAAAAAAGATCAAAATGCGATAGCTGGGTAGGACCTGCTATAGTTAAAGGAAAAGCTAACCATAAACTGTTAAGGTGCCCCATCAGGTTTTAAATTAGAGTCGTAGGAATACACATATAGTTTACGAAAACAAGCAGAAATAATAATAAGCCATTTTAGCAGCTGCACCAGCTGCTTACGAGGTCAAGTTCTCTGCCTTCTTCGCCTTCCACACCATCCTTCCGTTCAATCTGAATTTTCACCTGCCTTGATTGGAATTTGATAACGAAAACAGGTGCCGCTTGAATAAGTCAGCTCATTCGGTTCGAAGTAGATGCTGAATACCAAAAGTCAAGCGGGCACTTTTGCGATTATATCTACTGACCAGGTAGCCAAAAAGACTGAGATACGATGAGATGTTAGAGCTCAACGAAATTGTCGATTCTCTTTCTTCCTCCGAACAGTTCTTTTGGGTTGAACCATGCTGGGCTTTCAAGAGCCTCAGAGGGCACACTCGAGGATGTCGCACTTTTTAGGTTCCTCACAATCTTGAACAAAAAGTATCTAGCTACTTACAAAAAGCTAAGAAAAGCCGACAAAATGTCACCGTCGGGTAACCAGAATTAGTAGTTCGTGTTCACTCATAGATCGTACTAAAATCGCATAGCGGTAAGCGCTCGCTGCTCTACAAACGGGTGCGTGACGATTCAATCGTTGAGCTGGCTAGGTCGCCGCGCCGGCCGCCGCAGCCCGCGATGCGACGTCGGCCGTGGCTAGAATTTAGGGTTCTAGCATTGGGGAATGAAGGATTAGATGAAGTTTACAGTCGTGAATCACGGTATATGATAACCTGCTCCCTTAAAATACAGGTTCCCTGTCCCTTGCCATTATTTACAAACTTATTCTGCCATATTAATGTTACTGCCTTCCTCACCGTTCCACTGCGTCTTGGAACGTAATATTTTTCCGATTTAGCCAGATTATCGCTCTCTGATAACAATTCAGGCAGTTGATTAATAGAGAAGTCTCATTATGTTCAGAAGGACAACCTTTACATGGCACAAGCTCCGTACAGGGAGGCTTAAATAACTGCAGAGACCTTAAGGTGACTCTTGTTGGCTCACTGATGTTTGGAACTTTGGTCTTATCAGTTCTCTAACCCCACCAGCTTCTTATGGACAATGACCGTTAAGCCAAGGCCCATACAAAAATCGCCGCACCAATTGCCGCGCGCGACGCTGCCCGCCGCGTGAGCGGCGTGACCTCATTAGCCGACGATTGAATTGACCGTCTCCCCTAAACGAAGCTACCAGCCTACACGCAACCCATCGATTGGTGTTACCTTCAAAACCGCGCTGATCTCATTGGTCAGAGAGTGACGATGCTTGAGATGAAAAATCGGAGTGCTGTACAATCAGAACCGAGGTCCTTAGGGCCTATCTACCACGGCATTGACTGCCGAACTCCATGCAGCCGCTTCCAGAATGAAACGGTAACCTTAGGCCACCTTCAGGCTAAGGGGAGCCTACCGCAATTGAGGAAGGCTGTGGGGGCTTGCTCGACCTTATTACAGTAGTCTAATATTATGAGCTCTCACTGAGGAGTCTTAAGCCACCTGTCCAAGATTCGGCGCAAAAAAGTAGTCCTTCCTAAAGGGAGGAAGAGGGGTCTCCAAGCGCACTAGGCACTCAAAAGTGTGGGGCAACGGCGCTAAGGCCTTGGCTTGTGTGCTGCCGTGCTGCCATCTTGATCATGAACGTCCCAGGTGGCGTCTACGCCCTCGCGTACGACCTGCTCTCTCCCTTTTTCCCTCTAACGCCGCGCTGTGTCTCTCCGTCATACCTTGGTCAACCCCACAAGAGAAATTCCAGGGTTTTCTATGGCGCTTTTTGCTTTTCTTCCCAATAACGTTTCGCTTTGCACTTCTTGCCTAATTTTCTGACAAAATAACACACCTTTTCGATACGACCTGTGCCTTTGAGTTCATATCGTACCACTAGCAGGTTCTAAGAGATAGGAAGAGTGGAAAAGATGGAGCCCATGATATCTTAGTGGGCCTCACCACTCACAAGCTCAACAATGGTGCTCTACAATATATCACGTAGCCGTTTCAGCGATAATCCTCGAATGTCCCTTGAAATGACCACAAACTTTCTTGTTTTAGTTGATAAGCAAAAAAGTTCGAAGGTTTTTCGTTCTTTCCTTTTCTCATTCTTTTCATTCCATAAACAAATATCGTATACTAGGAATAATTCATTTCAACCCGACAATCATAACTTGTACAAATGATATCAATAGCATAAGTTCGACTAATATGTAATTTATATTATATCAATAAACGATTAATTAACAGCAATTACTACTTAAGCACTCTCGGCCGATTTTCTTGTCCTTGCTTCCAAATCACCATCTCTCCTTTCTTGAAATCGTACACGGCACGATCCGGTGCTTCTGAGCGGTTGATTCGATAATTCAAAGTCTATGGTGCTCATTGATTTTAGCGATGATCCATGGAATACCAAATGAGAGACGTTGTCGTTGTAGGTTCGAAGAATCTCCTGTAAGGTTTATAGATGAGGCCGGCTTTAGAGTTACGCATGAGGCATAAAGATGAGTTAGCTATACATATAAATAGGAGCCACGTAAGCAAATTAAATTGAGTAATATCCGCTCACTTGATAGGGATCATCTTCATCTTGGGACGACTGCGATGATGAGGCACTTTGTCGTGTCTGAGTCGTTTCCGGTACATCCGGTCTGAAAATAAAGTCATTATCCGATGACTGGGAATGAAGAACGAAAGCCAAACGAAACACATATTGGAAGTCGATGAAAAAATATTAACTATAAACAGGTCATTTTCCCATAGTTTTTCATTTTTCGTTTTTTTTCATTTCTGTTTTTTTTAATTTTTCCCGATTCTTATTGCTAAAGAAATTTCCCTGGGTAGTTCAAGGAAAACTAACTCATTTAACCATGAAGACCATCGCTGAGTTGGTGACTATCTTTTTAGAGAGTACATGAATAAAAAGAAGTCCCCAACTACTCGTCGTCCAGATTCATCATTTGCGAGAGCTGCTAGCCTTTCCAGAAATAGGTTGCACCCTTTTTTTAGAAAGATCGCTGAATTACAGGCCGTGGGCTATATGTATGTTGCCCTTCACATTGGCGCTAGCGGTAGGAGAAAATCCCGTCATTTTCACTCATAAAAACTTGCTTTATTTTCATCACACTTTTAGTTGTGGGCATATAATAGACTAGTAAGATTCTTTGTTTTGACGCACCTAAACAAAATAGGAAAATCAGGCTAAATCAGTAATTATCACCCCTTTTCCGGAGAAAGAAACGATACATGGCTCCCAATCTTTCGGTCTCTATTCAACGTGCCAAAGACCAGCTGAAAACTACCAGCACCTGGAGTTAACCGTTCGCTGTGTCAATCTCAACGATGAAGGGGGTTCAGGTTTGTCAGTATTTGGATTATGTGAGGGGGCCCTATTCCGGACTTTTAGGTAGGTCTGTTGTGGTGGAAGATGAGGGATAGTGTTGTAGGATAGGTATGGTCTGACGGTTCTGACAGTAATTTTGCAAAATTTTGAAAATATGCGCGAAGATGCCGATATCTGAGCATTTGCCGTCATCCAGCGATAAGGTAAAGAGCGGGTAACGCGGAGGGTATAGAGGACCACTCCAGAGCTCTTAGTCGTAGGCGACGTGTTGAGACCCTTTAAATAAGCGGGGGGAGGGGGAGATTGAAAGTCCTTTGATTTTGCACAACTTACGGTTCACCCTGCTGGTAACTCTATCGTCACGATTTCGCTTAGGCTCCAGGCTGAAGAAAAGAAGTGCTGATTCCTATTAATTGCCCTTGCCGCATTTGAAATAAAGTACATTTTCTGGCAAATTATTAAATCCCTCAGTTCCGGAGCAAGCTCAAAAGTGAGGCTGCAGGAGAGTTCGGCACTCCGTCTCTTCTAGACAAAATTATTTTTGACTAATTACGTCAGCTTGCGCTTAACCAGGCTCTCACTGACGTCATTCCAATTCATAACTTGGGAATGGTGACGAAAAGAATTTTTGACTCGACACCCGTCCAGCCATGCCCGATTTCCTTCCATTTTTGCACGTATCCTTTTTCTTCATAATAATTGATGCCCAGCAAGTCTAGCAGTGGCAACCACTGGCTCGCAGAAGAGGCCCTCATACATCAGAAATTCCTTTTGCGCTGGCTGCATATGCGTGCGTCATGCATGCATGATTCTTTAGGTTTTTGCAGAACAATAACATTCGATATGCCTTGGAAAGCTGAAGCGCTGTGCGTGCTGGCATTCCATTTCATTCCTTTGAGATCAAGAACCGTGATGTATTAGAGACCGATTTAAAAAGTGTGAAATCAGAAATTAGAGATGAGCGCTTGGGCCAACTGGATTAAGTTTCATTAATTTTCGTAGAAAGCTTCATGGTTTGCAACAGTGCGTGCAAGAGTGTTCGGGTGCGATAGTTCGCACGAATAAGTCGACCGCCTTATTGACGCCCTTGAGATTTGATGAACTCTTAGCGTAGTGCAGTGGAAAGCGACTCTGAAGACCCTAGAGCCTAGAATGGAGCTCCTGAGACTGCAAGTCGGAGGGAACATTTCTATTTTATTTCTGTTTTCATTCATATTGTAACTGTTGTAGTCTCGTTTTTCAATCCTACATTATTTTTAGACTCGTTGTTGATGCAATCGTTATAAATAATGAATAAATAAATAAACATGTAAGGTCAAAAAGTCAAATCAGAATAATAAGACGGTTACATTTAAGTACAATTCACGTAATGAGCGGTACCAGCTGAATGGTGTCGGTATGCTCAATGCAATCGACTTTAATGAGCTCGCTACTAGAGGAGATAGGAACATTAATGGGTTTGGCTGACATACACATTGGGACCGCCCCTGCTCTCAGCTCCTTCCCATTCTACTTCTTGTGCACTATTATAACGGAAGTAACAAAAAATGGGACACCATATGGGAGTGACTGACAAGCTCTCAGCATGTGGTCGACGGTGTGGGCGCAAGGTGAATTCCTCCACCGATTTTTGAACTACGCAGGTGCTCATGTTATTGGAAAGTCACATTGGAGCGTTTGTTCGTGTTTGAGCGTATGGGTGGTTGAAAGAATTGAAAACTAACTAACTGACCGTACGCTGGACCGAGGGCAGGACCACAGTTAACAGCCTGTGATCAGACGGTTCTATTCGCGTCGTTTGCGCATGCAACCGCTGGCCCTCTTCTAATTCCACGAAACTATGGTTCAATGGATGAGGCGCCCAGACTGAAAACTAGCAATTACAGCCAAGAAATGTGGGAAAACAATGATAGAAGCTAATGAGACATCTCCGACCCTTAACTGATGCCTTGGAAAAGCACACGAACGTGATAAGAGTTGACGTAAGGTTATTTCCTTGAAATGAACAGTGATAGTGCGAAGCTGACGTATCGCAGAGTAATCACAAGGAGAACTGCTAGAAGCAAAGGCTCTTTTCTTGTGGGATCGACCAGATACACATAGAACACAGCGGACGATAGCGTAAGAAGCAGAATCATACGAAAAGTAAAGTAGTACTAGTAGGAGCAGGACATGAAGGCATGTGGACGAAAAATACAGAGATGAAAATAGCAGCGGGTTGTTTTTTTTACCAGCCGCCTTAAAGGTAAGGCTCTTGCGCATTGAAGCACTTGTGAGTGGTTACAGTGCTAACTCCTGAGCCTGGGAGACCCTATTACATCATTCGCGAAGAGGATCACTCTAATCGCGGACTGTGCCTTTAGAATTAAACATGAATCTTCTTGTTTGGCCAAAGGGAAACTCCAGAATAAGCGCGAGAAGAAGATTCAATTTTCTCCTTTCAGAATCCGTGAATGGTTCAAATTTAGTGGTCTTTTTCTGCAATGAACTCCTGGAAAGGTTTCTAAGTTTACTGTTCATGACAGGAAAATTCAAGTTTCAGGACAATAAATTCTCGAGTCAACGAGCCGAAACTATACTGAATTAGTCATGAACGCTAATCGAACGTATATACTTCTATTTATTTATATTTATTGATCTTGATGAATTATATTATTATTTAAAAAAATGTTGTTGACAAAGCGTCAAGCAAATAACGAATCACTCACTTTTGGTGGGGTTTCCGAAGAATTTTCTCGGAAATAGACCTTTTCAATACTTTGAGATTCTTGGGCAACATCATCTGAAATCGTATAATCAGTAAGATTAAATCTGGTTCCAAGCAAGCAAGACAACGCGTCAGAAGAAAAGCCGACAGGATAATCAAGAAAATCTCAAAAATAAGCTGGAAGATTTGAAGACACAGCTCGATATTTATCTGTTAAGCGCAGTGAATATCTGCACGGCTCAAAAAGAAGTGGTATTCCTCGCAACAGAGATTATCAGAGAAATTCTCTACGAAGTCTCAGTTGCCTCTCACAGATAGCGCGAACTCAGACGATTTCGGGTCAGCTGGCGCTTACCATCGGAGACAGGGACAAGTGGATGGCCGGCCGAAACTGGTCGTGACTGTATGAATGTAACTGCGGCGTCGAAGCGTCAAAGTTCAGCAATTCCGTGTTTACGGGGCCCCCATCATTAATACCTTCACGTGAATCACCCAGAAAAAGGGTATGCAGCTCCGCAGGTCTTCCAGTGCTGCCGAGACAATAGCCATGTGATGACTCCTTTACTGATACCGCTTATCGCAAGCAGTTCGCGGAACTTGGCCGAATAGGAGAGAGCTTATCAGGGCTGTTAAATGCTAGTGAAAGTCGTGAGACGCTGAATGTGTCCAGCGCCTGGAACATTGCGACCTCAGTCCCCAAATGAGACTCGGCAATTCGAAGAATCAGGAATTTATTTTTCAGCAGCCAGAGGAACTTAAATAGACAGAATATGACTTGAAGCAGAGCTGTGTCGTCTATGATTAATTTGCCACGTAAAGGGTCGCGGTCCGGGGATTTTTTATAAAGGGGGTGGGGGGGAGGTTGTATTTTGTGCCCAGGAACGATTATACTACACATTCGAGGAAAAAAAAAATTTTTTTTTTTTTCGGCGCCAGGTGATTTGTAAGCAAGTGCCACAGTTCATATGTTCCACGGCGCGGTCATTCAGCGTATATGCCTTATTAGGCCAACTAAGCTTCCCATCCCTTGGTTATGGTTGGCTGACGGCGTTTCCAGGCGGCTAGCCAAAACAGGGCCGATGGTGTGTGACAGTAGGACTAAGCCCAGGAGACAGGAGAAAGGCCAAGGAGCCCATAAATTCACGATCCTTTCTGGATCCTTTCTCCCCACTGAGGCTTGTCCCCTTCCCCCCCCTTCAACGACATGAGCGCCTTGACACCATTTTTTTCATGGAGGTAGTGAGACTGTGCGACTTGTGCATCACGTAGTTCGCGGGGGTTTTGTATATATAGGGTAAGAATGAGATCAAATGCGGCTACTGATTCATAATGGTTAATCGAATGTGATGGGTATCAAAAGGATTAATCAATTGGTGTGGTATTGGTCGATTGTATTATTCTTTAATCGTTTATCAAAATGATGATTTTTGAAGTTTTCGTAAAGTTGCGGGAACAGATGTTATCGCAGAGGATGAAGGACGTTCACGTGAAATATACGGGAACGAAATGCACGAATTATGTCAAAATCAAAGGCAGCACAGCAGTTTCTGACTAATTTTGCCCGTTGGAATCATGAATGTGACACCGATTCGCGATGTAGTCAGACATGAATGCATAAATACTTAAATAGTATGCGCCGATACATACATGGTTATCTGGAGAGATGGTCATCGGGAAACCTGTTAGACAGTGTTTACGTCTTAAGAATGTCTGAAACTCTAGTACGCTAGAAAGAACGTCTAGTAAAGAAATTGATAGTCGCAAGGGCCTCTGAATAATATCGTCACCGTTCAATTACTTAGGCGCAGTCTCAGATAGTTGGATGGGTCTTAAAGGTTAGAAAATGTTGTTTGTTTGTAAGCCGCTAATCGCGCAGTATTACTAATCGCCTTACGGCTGACAAGGAAGTAGGAACCTAGAAAAAAGGGACAGTTGCCGAAGATTTGCTACTGATAGCTATGAAAAGTGAGCTCTGAAAGGTTGACGGTGAGTTATGAAAGGTTTCAAGAGTGGTTTCTGTCATACTCCTATATGGGAAAGGGATAGGGCAAACTAGCCTAATTACTTTCCTGGGATGAGCCATGCACTTCACTCAACTATCAATTGCAAGAGGGGCAAAAGTAATATCGGCCGGTTGGCGTAAACACATGAAAAAGCTGATGACACCACTTTGCGTCAGTGTTTCTTTCCTATCAGAATTGTTTCGCAACATCTCAGAAACAGTAATCCTTCCCCCAGAGACGTGTTCCTCGCCGCTGATTCAATTCTAAGCTTGGGTAGGCATGGATGCGTCACGGAACCGCCCTCACACGTCCGAAGCTGTACTACCTCATCCGTTGAAGCACTCTTTCTCCGAAGGGTCGCCTGCTGTAGTTGTAGAGCAAGTAAAAGAGCAGAGGTGTCGCACGTCCTATGATGCAACCCCGTCTCCTCCACCCCTAGGATCGAATCAACGGCGAGCGGAGCGTCCCCCTGGAGCAGGATTGGAAACGGACCCAGATGAAGAGAGGGTGGACCAGTCAGCATGTGGAATGAAGCTTGACGCGTACGACTCCTAAGGGTCACTATTTACTGGCGTTTTCGCCTCATCTAGCTCGACTTTAGGTAATATGGATTGCTCCGCCAGAGCATAAATGCACTTCGGTAAATACGGAAAATGTCAAGAACGAAAAACGGCTGACGGGGAAGAATTAAGCGGCAAATCCGGAAGTGATATCATTAAATGACGCTATATCTGGAGCACTGTGAAGAAAACGCTGTCGGGCCGTTAAAACTTATTTATTTGCTAGTATCTGAAGAGGCGGGACTCTGATGGGGTGATCCCGTGTACGGGGTTTCTGGGCGGTCCAAATCAAAAGGGAGACCTGGAGAGTTCAAAAGCGCTGGGCTGTGCTGAGAAAAAGATCAGAAGGGGTGCATAAGCCATGGCAAAGTGGCTATCGAACGTGCAGTTTTTGCCTGGAAAAGTGTCACGCGCCCGGAAGTGTTCATGATCGCAGATTTTCACCGAGGAAGAGTTCCGGGTATAGTGGGGGCGCGGGTGCTAATGGATGTGATGGGTCGAAGTTCCGACATTTTATGTTGGCATGGTACTTATGACGAAAGTGACGATTTTGCCGTACGCCAGTCATACGGGGCCATCCTTCAGGACATAACAATAGACTTAGGAGGGAAGCGGATTCGAGAGGAGGAAGTGAAGATGGCAACGCGCTGGGTCTTCTTCCTCCCCCGCTAATGTTATACGTCCGTTATTAACCAAAGAAAATGATACCTTAAAGGAATCTTCCACGGAAAGAGTGATCATTTTGTCTTGTGTGTAGGATTAGTATTATCGAAACTAACGCTTATGTTCCGTTCTTTTTGCTATGCTCATGAGGCTAGGGGCCTAAGTATCGTTTTTCTGTGGTAATGGAGGCGGAGCTTTTTCCGTGGAAGATTCTTTGAGCATACCATAGCATGCAGAGAGTATCGCGTTGTCCATGCTTTGATTTGTTAGGTATTCCAGAACTATATAATTTCTTTCCGGAGGTACATACTTTATCGATGAGCAGCTCCCTTTATCCTTAATACGGTCCGGGATTAAATCTTGCACTGGACTTCGCCCTTTGTCGAGCTTTCAATCACTTTGTGATTGATTAACATGGAGACCGCGCATACTTACGTTTTGCGACCACGTGGAACTTTACCGGAATTTTTCGAATCCTACCCAGCAAATTGGAAAGAAAAGCCCACTCTAAATTGGAAGAGACCTTATTGAATGAAATAAAAAGAAAAAACAAAAGGGGAACTTGAAATCCCGAAATACGGGCTGCCAGGTATCACTTGGTCGACGGACTGCAGCCCACATTTGGGTTGCATGGTCTCCAAGGTGTAAATCAGTACCCGACCTAGGTGCATGAAAAAGCTTGATCACACTGACTTGTGAAGTGGTCCCGTAAGCGAATGACGGCGACAAATCGCATTGAAATGTCTATACAATTCTCGATAGATGAAGAAAGCGTGGCGCAACCCAAAGGAGAAAAGTAAGCGCGGGTGACCGACAAGGAAAGCACGCTGGTTGTGGTGGTGGAGTGTTTGTTTGTAATTCTGTGTTCCCATAAATCAGCCATCGGGTGTCTGAATAAATTTACAATTCACATGCTCAACGAAATGAGAGGAAGAATGAAAAACAATCGCTGGAGCGAATAAATCGCGTTACCTCCGACAATGGAAAATTTAGTTCCTCGTGGATTGTTTTGATTAGAATTGGCAACAGCAGGATGATAACAAGGTGATGAAGATAATCAGGTGAAGTGCATTTCTTAGAAGAAGCATGGTCAGCACCGCTTCGTGAGGATGAGCCCATCAAAAAGCCCTTCACATCCGTCATATTCCGAAAATCCCCTCCACTTGTTTTCTTTTCTAATGAGCACACATCAGTATATTTCAATTGAGGTGAAACCTAACCCTTCCTCCCCGGACCTTTCATGGCAGAGGAAAATACTATTTCACCCCCCCCCCCCTTTTCATTCGAGTTATTGTAATTTCTGCTGTAGAGTTGTTTTGTGTATAAAGATAGGATTCATCTAGGGTGACTAGTCAGGGTTATTACGATTCACGCAAATGCCTACCTTGTTGGAAATTTTTGTTCTAATAGGATAATAAAGGATAAAGCATTTGCCGTTGATCAATCCCTTTTTGGGATGCGGCACGCATTCTACTTCCATTTGTACATTCGTAGTGGCGTTTGAATGCGATGTGGCCTATACAATGACTTGCGGGGGCCAGCCGATGTACAAGTCAGTGTTTTTATCCTCCCAGACAAGTCTGGTACCAATTAACCGACCCCGGAGGGATGGAAGGCTTGGTTGGCCCGGGCGACTCACGACCCAGGATTCGATCCCGGACCGCTATTCGATACATTACTCAAAACCCGCTCGGCGACGATCTTGGCTGACCTGATAAGGACACCATTTTCCAGAGGAGGCCCTGTCGAGGTAGAAGAGGATGTCCTGCTGCCAGATCCGTTTCCTCGACGCGATGTTATCAAATCCAGGTTTCGATTTCTTGAGCAGTGATTGGTGAGGATGCTGAAC